CGTTGTTGTCGGGGTTTACAGGCTTTTTACAGATAAATCTTTATATATCCCTGCTTGGAAGAAATGCGAACATGGATTTGTGAGAGGTGCGACCATTGGTTTAGTTTGGGTGAGCTTTGGATTCTCCTGTCTTCAGTCATTTGTTGATTATGTGAATTTGTCGAGGATTCTTTTAGGCTGTGACTACGTTCAAAATTCAAAGGAAATTTGTCGAGTTGTTCTTGATCAAGTACGTTTCTGTGGATTGGTTTGTACAATGGAGGATTGACCGCCTGACTTGGTAAATTGGTGCTTAGGTCTCCAAGTGTTACCGGTGTCTCTCGAGATGCCATCTTCGGGTTTCAAGTACCCTTCGACCTTCCTACATGTAAGCGGGCGATATTTACCTTCCATGAAGCAAGGATAACATGTCCATTTCAGACGCAACTCTCGTCTTCCTCTCAACTCAGTTCAGCGCTATCTTAACTTTCTTCCTATCACGCAACATCAGGATAGCGCGAGACAGAGTATATGAGCAAACTATTCAGTCTAGAGGAAAAGGTCCTGATTTTTGGAAACCTTATGTTGAAGAATGGGATAATCCACCCGTTGTACCTCAAGGCCATTTCGGAGTGGGTGTGTTTGCCTCAAGCTTTGTTGGTAGGACTTTGATCAAGAGTAAGCAGTCTTGCTCTCAAATTATAAGAAACAGTATTGAGGAAATTGTACAATTTGATAGTCATGGTGACCCCATTCAGACTGGTACCTATCGTTGGTATCTTACTATCTGCTTGGTTGAAGGCATTGGGAACAGCAAGATATCTTCATCGTCATGTATGTCAACTCATCCGCTTTTTAGTTTATTGAATTAAGCTCCGCTCGTTTTGATTTTCATTAGTACTTCCAAGCAAAAGGTATGACGAAAGAACAAATTTCCATCTTTATTGAAGAACGCAAATGGAGCTATCGAGGTAAGCTTGACCCTTCTCCTTTCCTCATATAGTGACATCGTTAATAATATTTAAATATAATCAAATAGCGTTCGGTTTCGCCGCAGCTCTTCTTGAAGGATTACCCATAGTTGGCCTATTATTCACCGTTTCAAACCGGATAGGAGCTGCGATGTGGGCACATGGTAAGAAAGTCTCTTGTATCTTTCATCATATTCTAACAGTGTCTTGCATCGTGATAGACTTGGAAAAACATCAACATTATATCGCTGAGTTGAAGGCTAAGAAGGAATGATCATACTCTGGTCTGGAATATTAGCTAGATTCCTTGTCAACTTGAACAGACTGAGTTGAAGGATTGAAATGAACCTTGGCCGGTCGTATTATTGCATGTCGTGGTTCTTTATATTTATCTAGAAATACACTGATATTTATCCTCCTCAAGGCTTTCATGGCTCTGAACGGGTTGATTTGAGGAAATGATACATTCCTCAAAGTAAGATGCGTAAGTGAATTTACAATGTCTATCGACGCAAGGTCATATCGAACCCGCATCTCTCCTTATCCGCCAGCTTTGTAAGAACTTGGTCACGACGAGACGTTTAGACTTCGGCGAACTTGCTTGTCCAATTACAACGGGCGACTGAGATTGGGTATTGAGCTCTATTCATCTTCCAGATGACTGTCTACGGAGTAACTCGGTGATGAACTTCTACTGGAGGCACACATGGGAAGTCGATTGCTCCTTCGCGGGCTCACATTTCGGACGAGTATAAAGGATGTTCAGTTGTGACAGGATGATGTTAGTCAGACTCTTAGTTGCTCTATAACTCTCAGATTCATCTCCAACTTGAAGAAAACTCGTCATGGCTTCTGCACTGGTAGGCTCCAAATCGAAGACTGTTTACTGCTGATTTACGATCTACTCCTTGCTTAATTCTCCCCAGAAATTGAACTCTACCAGTGAACCCTTCTCAAAGTTGCCATCGATCTGCACAGCTCTTTTTGAAGCTAAAGCAGCCAAAGGTATATTCCACCCAGATTGCAGAAGCTTAAGGGGACTAACCGCTCTATATTACCTACACTTTCGTTTTTAAAATTCCAGGTCTCACGTTCGAACAAATCGGAGAAGCTATAGGACGAAATGAAGTTTGGGTAGCTTCAGCATTTTACGCTCAAGCTAAATTATCGAAGGATGAACTCAACGCTTTAGCACAAACCCTCGACATTGATCAATCATCTTTGAACGCTGAACTCGGTGAACATTGGTTCCCTCGACGTTCCATTGGACCTGCTATTCCGACTGATCTAGTGATTTATCGTTTGTACGAGGTGTGTAGTTGTCCGTCGTCTCATGAGTGATTCATACCCCCATCAAGCCACTGAGGATTTTTGGATGGCTAGGGCGTCATGGTTTATGGAAATTCAATCAAAGCTGTTATTCATGAGAAGGTAAGTCATTCGTTCAATTTATTCTACAGTGGTTTCGTCATTATTCTGAACAACAGCAAATTTCATACTTTCCTCAATAGTTCGGAGATGGAATCATGTCTATGATTGATTGCGAAGTAGACATTCAGAAGAAGCCGACTGACAAAGGCGAACATGTAGTGTTGACCTTTGAGTAAGTCCATTAACCTCTTCGCAGTGGCGTATTATTTTTACTGATTATTGTTCGGTTTTCAGAGGGAAATACCTACCATACAAGAAATGGTAATTGTCCCCGAATACCTCTTCACAACTCGGAGCTGTATGATCATAAGATCATCTTTTGTAACTCTTCTGTTGTAATATTACCCCTCTCTCATTTAATATCCTCACGCGAACAGATGAAATCGTAACGTACTTACGGAAGTTCTCCCCCCCGCGGACTAGGTTCACAACGCTACTATACTATTCATTCTTGCATCCCAAAAAAGCCTAGTATAGACTTATCAAAGGTCTAAGCTAAACAATAAGATGCCGTACCTATCCAGATTCGGAAGTACACGACGAAACTGATCATTCATACCTCTAACACCATGATAATAAGTAATCATGACTTTTTCCAACCGATTGATCAAAGGGTCGGAAGCCAAGATGTTATCCAAAGACGTCCAAGACGTTCTACGAAATCGTCTTACACTATATTCGAGGTTAAACTCGAGATGAACCTCAGATAAGACGCTAGATTTTATAGAAGAGAAGATAGGTAGGAGGGTTGGGATCTGTCGAGGGAAGATAAGTCCAAGTTTGACAATTTTGAGATTATGAAGGGCTCCGAAATTCAGAATGGAGCATGGTCCTATTTAAATATATGGATAAGCATTTCTACCCAGAATAGGTGATGAAAGTACCTTCAACTTCCAAGTCCGATTCTGCAAAAGTTAATTGAACGGTTTGGAGAGATGTTGAATACTTGTCAAATAGCACATTGAGCGTCTCGCAACTAGATGAGGTATCTAGATGTCCGCCACCTCCACCAGTAAGATCCAACGTCAAAGATACAAGTGTCTTCGTGAACTTTGAAATAGCAATGTACCATGAAAGGACAGTATTGATCTCGACGTCGTTGCCTCTTCCATAGAGCTCCGCCAATCTCAAGGGTCTATCTCGAGACGGAATCCGCGCAAAATCTTTGAATAACGAAGGCCTTTCCCATGTTATGGATTGAAAGTAGAGTTTACGAAGATTCCTGAAGGAGATGACCAACCGCCAGAAATGATCGAAACTGAAGAATTGACATCCTTTCAGATGAAGATTCGCAACACTGAGAAGTTGTGTGCAGAAGAATGGTGTGGAATGATGTAGGGTAGGAGGGAGGGATATCAACCATAGTTCTTGTAGATGGGGGAGCAAAGATGGTGTTCGCACGAACACTGAACCTATATCTGCTAAACCAGGTTCCACGTACAGAGTTCGGATATAGCTAGCTAGAATAGGCGTCCTAGATATGGTATGGACGAGCCCCGAGTAATTCTTCCCATCGCTGCCTAAACAGACCGTGGAGAAAAGATACGAACGACTCTTTAGCAGGAAATCTTGGCACGTGAGCGACAATGAACGGAGTGTGTAGGGGTCATCTGCGAGCTCGTCGATTATACAATCGAAAATCTCTTGTGGACAACGCCGTTCTGTAGGGAATCGAATCGGCACACTTGGCCTATCTAAGTCCAGCAACGGGGCTCCTGCTGTGGACCGTAGAAGGGTTATTTCTCCGCCTAGAGTGACGAATTTCATGAGTGCGATGCCCACAACACACTCTTACAGAGCGGTGTATGAGAGGACACGGGTAGCAGACTAGACGTGGTTTGGGTAAATTGAAATGCTGAGGACATTGAGCAGTGACATTTTAAATGTTTCTGTACTCAGGAGTCAGTTATATCCACCTAGTATCACCTTAGTCTAAGGCTATAGCCTAAAATTCCCAGTCCCCAGATCGTACGTGTATTCTGTGAGAAGTCGAACGGATGATCGTGAGATGACTCGGGGGACGCCATCCTGGGGTCGGTATAGTATTATATATATGCGGGAATATGCGAGTATAAAAAATTCAACATCTGTACAGATTGCTGATTGTACAATTCTCGAGCGTATCATCGGCTGCAATGCAAATCAGGGCCCATGATTTTGGTAGACGTACTGTAAATCTCATAAGCTGGGAGTAGTACTAGTAGTAGTAGTCATAAGCTTTTGTGCGTGATTAATATTTTAAAGCGAACTGAATAACTTCAAAAATCACTGACCCGAGACATCAGATTATAGCCGGCACAGCTTCTACAAGTAAGATTGGAAAGAACGGATGGAAAGCTGTGGTTAAGAAGTTACGGAACAGTTGGCAGCACATACTAGTACGGAGTCACCCGAATGTCTCGTGTCCGGAAAATAGCGGCGTGACCATGACATTGCATAAGAGGTTCTGTGAATAAGTAAGGACACACCATCACGCTATGTAGTTCCGATCAAAGGCCAACCGGTCAACCGGTCAACTCCGGACAGGTGTACGATTTTCATTTATATCTGCTCAGCCAGAGGGAGTGTCGTAGTAGTATGCTGTTATATATCAATAATGCACATATATCAGAAGTCTAGGTCACTTTGCCGGAGTGGTTAACGGGATCGCCTGCTATCCAGCAGCTAAGCGGTTGTGCTTTGCACGCGTGTGTTCGAATCGCACAGGTGACGCATTTTTGCCAGCTGGTATGTGCTCTCTTTTAGATTAGTTTCCTGCTATCTTAGTATTACGAGAAAATATTATATTCCGGATCCCCAGTGGAAGGATTTTAGTCGGAAGTATGATGAAAATAGCCATAAGGAGGAAATAAAAGAATGTGATAAAAATGAAAATGCAGAAGGCTCTGCTATTGGATGTCTACGAGAAGAAAATATGTCCATGGACGTATTCACGCTTCACTATCCTGCTGAACCATCGTCTCCACAGTGATATGTACCTAGGATGTCGAGACCAATTAGTTCCACCGTTTGTCAAAAAAGCTATTCTCCGATAGTAAACTTGCCTTGGTAGCACTAGCCTGAGGATCAAAATCAACTTCGTGCTATCAAAATCAATCGATGTTGAGAGACGTGTATCAAATGTAAAGGTTACATACTCACCGCTGATCCTATGGTTCTACTCAATGATATCCTGCCGATTCCTTCACGGAATAGTAATGGTCGAGATGGAATTTCTCTTGGTCCGGGACCGCTGAAAGACACTACCCCTCCACGACTTGGACGAGCATTCAAGCTGTAGAGATCCAACAGGTCAGCTGTATGCGTGAAGCAAGAAAGGATCACTCACGTTGCTAAGAACGCATTCGCATATGCTAGACAATTGAAATGATCCATCATTAGATTTCGCACTGATTCTTGAAGATACGTACATTTGCTGATAGTAAAATGTAGACCTAAAAAGATCAAACTATCACGACGATTGGCTAACCACTGTCGCGATTATAGGAATTGGGTTATCAATGACGTGGTTAAGATATAAGAATGTATAACCCTACGAATATAAGTGCGAGAAGAGTCGTCAAGCTAAATAATCGAAAGCGTTCAAACTCATGATCAGTTGAATATGGAAATGAGCAGATCGCATACCAAGTAAGCATTCCATTCTCCACCGTGTATATTGTGAGAGAAGTGATGATGTCGTTCATGCTGTGAATGAAACAAAGATCAATTTCAGATAGTAGGCATATAAAATTATTCATTGAACCTTGTAAAGCCAGACCGACGTCGGTGCAGATAATAGACGAGCGCCGCTGTCACCAAGATATCCACAACGGCGGATGTCGAAAGGCCAACAGTATATACCCACTATGACATAAGAATGTGTGTATGAGCCTTCCCCGCTGAAAGTAAGTAAGACCGACACTCACTGCGAAACGGGCAACGTAATCGGCATAATTTCCTAAACGGTTCCTGAAAAGAATCAAAAGAAATACTTGGTAGGTTGTGTTTCACCTCACATTTCGACCGTCGAGACTACAATCCGAGGAGAATTGAACCGTTTAATTGTTGTTACTTATTATCGATTATCCTTAGAAGATACTTACCAATGGCAGCTCCTGTGTATCGTGTTAGTGGCGAGGGTTAGCGTACGGAAGAGATCTTCTCGGAGCTATTGATGACTCACCGAGACGAAAGGTTGAGATAGCAATCTATGTGACCATGATCAGAATTCGCAGTACAACTTCCAGCTCATGTTAAGACCGACATACAATTAGCAGTATGAGTATCTTATTCTGCCCCACTGTATAATCCAGCGGTTATAGATCTATAAAGATGATTCATCCGATGAAAAACGGTTATTTCACTTACACATGTAGATTCTGTATGAAAAGAAACTGATAATCCGATAGTCAGGGTTACAGCATGTACTGGAGATGAGACATGAAACCTTACAGATGGATTAAGAAAGTAATGAATGCCTGCAAACTAGCTTTCAGGTACCGTACGCTGCGTAAGGCGAAGGGATGAACAAACGGTCAAAACGATTGTGATAGCGATTTCCCTGAATTGTACTATAAGAAAACCGTTTATCATTGAGAAGAGGTAATGCGTGCCATGGGATTTGAAAGGTAGCGTCGACATCAGAGAAGTGTTCAATGAAGTAATACCAATTGGCACTACATAACATGACACTATGCAAGAGGTCCAAAAACCTTTGGTTTCAAGCGAATAAATTCAAATTAAGCTCAAAATGAAACACAGAACGACAATTTAACGTGCTTACCAAACGGTACCAACCTATCACAGACCAAACACCAAATGAGCAGTCAGTGGTCATTAGAGAAGAAAATGGGGGATAGATCTAAGAGTTGGATGTGCGCACCAAAGTTTTGAATGTAAAGCGATCTCCTGGATGTAATCGAAAATAAATGATAGCCTGTGTTGACATGGCCCCGGAAAGGCTACATCGCAGTAACACATTAACGTTAATTTTCTGTAGGTGATATGATGAATTGTCACTCACAAAAGACTGATCAGACTTCCAAGTAATATTGCGCCCATTGTTTGACGAACATCAACTGGGTGGACTGAAACCAGCTCTACATTATGCAACATTGTACAAATGGCAGTCGCGGAGGGGAATACGATAGAGACAAAGTCGCATCAGATGAAATGAATAGGTCCGTAGTTAAATAGAAAAATGCGCGTGAGCTGACATGGACTAAGAGAGGAAATGTTCTGTTTTGAACTTTCATTCTTCGTTCCTTTCGGACGTGGGTTGGGAAATCGGGTATATTTGTCTATTTAGATACGCTGGCCGATGTTTCAAATGGAAGAGAACCGAATAGGTCTTACCTCAATGTAAACTTCCAATAGTCTCCGGCTTGCAAGGCACAGCATCCTATTCAATACGAGACGCGTACTAAGAATCGCCAAAGTCTGAGGCATGGAACGTATAATTTGGTCTTTTCCAAGTCTTTTCTTCCTCGAGCCACAGCGATATTATTGCCAGGATGCGAGACCTTTTGTATGGAATATCCTAGAGCAGTTGTAGGTGTGCCGGGCGCATAATAGTCGTACGAGAAAGTAGCTTGTCAGACCAACGAGACTCAGTGGTCAATGCAACGACTCTGTGAGAGGTCATGAGTCCTGGTATCTCAAGGTAAGTTCACGTACTGGCGCACCTGGTATACCTGAGAAGCCCTTTGAAATAGACTTGCCAGTATATTCAATCTGAGAACACTTCCCACAGCTACAGTCGCCGAATGTAGTTTTTGAGTTTTGAAGAACCCGCTGTATCTTCTTTTCCAAATTCAACCATATGTTACCTGGGGAGTTTATCTGAGCGAAACAGTCGGGATGAACTTGAAGCTTGACATCTTACCGTGATCTGTTAGTGTGTCGTTCTCGCTGTTGATCGTGAACGCTGAAATTTGTAGTATATATTCCCGACCAGATTACCAATTACCGTGGCATGTTCGATGAATACGGCTGCGAGCCTGTGACCTAAAGAAGTCGAGCTTTTGAGTAGAAGCACTGAGCACAATATATCCATCATGACAAGATAAATATAAGAGTTGTGATGGCAATAACTTCTATGAATCGCAAGTGTCTGAACGACGTGCCAGCTTATGATTCAATATTTGATCTGTCAAGGAGCTTCACTAGGCTCGAGGCACTGTCCCGTTAATTAGTACCAGAATACGACAATAACGATGAAATTACACGAGCCTTGTTAGAGTGATCTCTGTAGAGTGTTGATTGCAGGTAGAGGCATGTGGACTTGCACACGTGGATTCAGAAAATCACTGCCATAGATACACAGCGAGCCCGCTACTGTAACAATACAGGTCAAATTGTAAAGGGTGTCACCTAGTTCCCGGGTTGTAAATTATCATAAAGTACAACTATAAGAGGTTAGCAAGCCGGAGAAAGCATAGCGGGATGGAGATAAGTAGGAACTCATTAAAACGTAAACGGGCGCAAGCAACTCGAAACATTGATGTAGTTGGATCATCAGAGTCATGCCATACAATAAGAGTATGAATGATGTATGGACAACAGTCAATTTTTATGCCTCGACATCATCTTCCTGAATGGTGGTCTCGATATTGATATGAACCTATGAGCAAAATCAGACGTAAATTAGTTTCATCTTCATGCTGGGTTTCATGAACGTGCCTTAGTGGTTTCAAGGCCAGAACCAAGCCCATCCTAGATGGACAGATGTTAGTTAAGATATTCTGAGTCTATAGACCCGTTACACACCGATGATCGAGAAGTTCTCGTTAAGCAGACACCTCCTCCCTCGTCGCGAAAAATAATGGGCCGAGACCGACCGTCACTACGACTGCGGCTTACAGAACTTCCTCCTGTAGTGCGCCGCAAGTTCAGTCTGTATTGGAGCTGTCGTTGAGCACAGTTGACAAGAGAGAGACTGATGAGACTCTTACGTTGCAAGAAACGCGTTCGCGTACGCTGAAATTTCATGAATTTTTCTAGCACATGAAATTGTTTGTTCCTGGGAGAGTGGGCTTACATTTACTGATTGTGAAGTGCAATCCTAAAAATATAAGGCTATCGTGATGATTGACTAGCCACTATATTCGGAACCATAAGAAAAACGGCACTTCAGTAAATCATGGGCCACTTACAAATATCAACGCGATCAGAGTGGTCACACTACAATCAAAGTCAGCATCCGCTCGATTCCTGCTTGTGTCTATGACTTACACAGTTAGTGAGCCATTCTCTACAGTGCTGATGGTAAGTGATGTGATTATATCGTTCATGCTAGAAAGAAACCGCCGTCAACGCTAATATAAAGCGACCAGGGTGAGTATATACCTCGCGAATCCAGTCCTCCGCTTGTGAAGATAGTAGCAGAGAGTCGCAGTCACCAAGATATCGACAGTTATAGATGCCGAGAGGCCGACCGTGTATACCCACTATCATTGTTGGTTAGTATGAGGCCGCAAGAGAACTAGCAAAAAACGATCACTGCTCACAGCAAAATGCGACACGTAACTGGCGTAAGTTCCCAATCGAATCCTATGATCAAATGTCAGACAGATGAAGGAGGTGATATATATATGCAATGCTCACATTTCCACAGTAGAGACTGGAAATTGGATCACGAACAACCATCTTGAACATGCTCCTCTCCAATCAGAATAAGGTCACGCACCTAAAGCAGCAGCTGAAGATACTATTAGTTTCGGAAGGTCAAA